ACCCGTCAGGCCGCAGCCCGCGCGGGGAGGGGCTCACGGCTCACCCAGGAGGGCGCGGGCACCCGGCCGGCTCCGACCCCCGGCGCCCAAGGCACCCAGCGGGGCAGAGGGAAACCGCGATGTCCGCCGGGGAGCGCCGGGAGGGCGCGAGGGGCAGGCGGGGGGAGGGGTGGACGGCCGGGGGCGCCTAGCCGAGGGGGGGGCGGGGCCAGGGGCGAAGGGGCATCTCCCCCGGGTCCGCGACGTGGTCGTCCCGATCGGGACCAGGCGCCAGCCAGTCCCGCGCCCGGTGGTGGTGGGGACGCGGGCGCGCCGTCGGGGAGCGTTCGGGGGGGGCGGCGGCGCGGGGTCCGGGCGGCGCCAGGATGTGGTGACGTGCGCGAAGGACGTGCCGCGCGAGCGACCGGAGCCTTAAAGTCGCCCCCGGCAGCGCGCCCGAGCACAGCGGGCGGAGCGGCGGCCGGGAGGCGGCAGGTAGGCGGCGGCGCGGATGCTCAGCCCGGGCCCGCTAGCCCTCTGCACCCTGGGGCGCTGTGCTCTACCGCGTGGGGGCGACGCCGGGTCCGCGCTCGCACTCTGACCCCTTCTCCCCTGGTCCTCCGCGGGGCGCCCCGGCAGACTCTCCACCCCTGCCTTCCATGCGCCCACCAGGGGCCCCGGGAAGCCCGCCGCGACCCACATGCCCGCGGGCCCTGGGCCCCTAGCCTCCGCGCCCCCCGGCCCGCCCGGCCCAGGAGCCCTCCATCGGGCGGCCCTTGGGGCCAGGGCTCCTTCAGCGGGCCACTGCGCCCGCGGCCAGCTCCGCCGGATATAAATAGGGCCGGGCGTGCGGGCTATATTCTGTGGAGCTGTAACGGCCCTCCCGGTGCCCCTTACCGCCGCCCGGCCCGCAGGGCTCCTGAGCGAGCGAGGAGCACGTGTGCTCCGGGCGGCGCTGGGGGGACCGCGCTGCTGCTCCTCCTCCTGGTTACCGGTATCGGTGCCTTCAACACTCCCAAACCCACACCTGCCCTCGGGCGACAGCTGCTAGCGCGGGCCGCCACCACACAAGGGCTAGGTCCCTGAAAGCTCGTGCTGGACTCCCTGCCAGCCCGTGGGAAAACTCGGCACGCCTCAGCTGACCTCCCACTTGCTGACGGTTGCCCGTTTCCCTATCTAAAAAGTGGATTGATAAGATAACGCCTCTACCTGGATTCTGGGCCAGCCGTGCCAGCCCTTCCAGGTGCAGAGTGGAAGAGAAGTGGTTTGTCAAGGTCTGGGCCACTGGGAGGGTAGGGGAGGTGTCTGGAGCCTGGTCAGAAGGATCCTACCTGTCCAGACGCACTGAGGGGCCTGTTCAGAGGACCAGGCTGGGAAGCACTGGCACCTCTCCTGACCAGGTCACCCCTGTAATGAGGACCAACAGGCTGGGTGGTCTGAGGGCAGTGCAGGGTCAAAGGGCACTGGGGCCGACTAGCCCTCTTCACACACTTAGGCCCAAGGGGCTGGTCCGTAGCCAAAGAGCAGGATGGGTGCTGAGGTAGGAGGCCCCCACGGTCCCCAGCCCCATTCCTCAGGCCTAGGAGTCAGCTGTGGCCTGGTGGAGGCCGGCCTGTCAGTACTGGGGAGGGACAGGAAGTGGGGAGGTGGGCCCTCACTGGGTCACCGTGCCCCCAGGAGCTGCCAGGAGGGCACAGGGCAAGGTCTGCCCAGAGCAGCTCTGGGGGCACTGGTGGCCGCCTCTGGCAGGTGTGGAGCCCTTCTGACCAGGGCTTAGACTGGTGTGGACAGGCCTGGAGGCCTGGTCCCAAGGCAGGCTTGGCCACGATCCTGCGTGACCTTGGGCAGGGCTGGCCACCCACAAGGAGTGACCTCACTCTCACTGACTGGACACTAGGTTCGGAGGGGCAGCGACAAGGAGCTTTGTGCTCCCCAGAACACAGTGGGGGAGGGGGTATGCCTGTGCAGAGGGCTGCGGGGTCCCACTCCACTGGCCGGGGATGACTGGTGTGCTAGGCCAGGCTTGCCCCAGGGCGGGTCCCCTCTGTGCCCAGGCCGGTATGGGAGGGGAAGGCCCGGTGCCAGCCGTAGGACTGAGGAGGAGCCCAGTGCATGCAACCCCCAGGGTGGGCCCTTCTGGGTGGCAGGGGGGGAGGATGGCGGTGCAGAGGGTGAATTGGAGGCGCCTTCTGATTAGGCCTGGGGTGGCCTGGCACTGGGCCTGGACGCAGGGGCAGGGCAAGGCATGCTCAGGTCCTGGGGCGTCTTCACGGCGTCACCTTGGCAAGTCCAGACCTCCGAGACTCAGTCTCCATCTGTGAAATGGGCTGCTCCGAGCAGCCGCTCACACAGGGGCAGGGAGGGGCCGCCCGCCTGCGGCCCCCAGGGCCGAGTGCGCCGGTCCCAGGAGCCGAGTTCACCAGTCCACGTTCCTGAGCCATGCGCGCAGGTCGGGCCTTGGGGAAGGGAAAATGAAAGCTGGCCCCGCCCCAGAGGAGCCGCGAGCGGGCTCCCTCCGCGGGAACCCAGCACGGCCGCAGGGTCCCCGCGCTGGCAGAGAGGCTCCGGGACTCCGCTTAACCCAGGCCACCCGGTGCGTGCTCGACTCCCGGCCGCGGGCAGACGCGCGCCCCGGAGAATACGGTAACGGCGTGGTGGGCGCCTACTCTATGCAATACGGCGGCGGCTCCTCCCTTGGCGTGGTCACGTCCCCCACGTCCCGCGGCTGGGCGGGCGGGCGGATCGGACGGAGCATCCTCGTAACACGCGCCACGAGCCGCCGATTGGTGGGGCTGGTCGGCCAGCTTGGGGCAACCTGACCCCACGCGCTCAGGGCGGGCGAGCAGGCCGAGAGGGAGCAGAGGCGCCGCTCCGTCCCTTTCCCTCCACCCAGGCGAGCGCGGGGCCCAGGGGCCTCTCCCGGCGCGGGCGGAGATGGGGCCGTGTCGTGGGTGGGGCTCAGGGTCCCTCCGCTCGCTGCCCCCCGGATCTCGGCTGGCGTTCCCTCTGCCCCAGCCCCGGGCTGTCCCGTCACTCTGGGGCATCCGCAGTGAGCCAGGTGCGACGGGGGCACACCCTTACCCGCCAGGACCGGTGGGTGGGGGGAGAGGGTGGCCTGCAGCCCCACCCTCCCCTGCCCTGCACCTTGGGGCACTCGGCTTTTTAGGGAATTTGCTGCAGGGGCGGGGTACATGGGGCCAGCTGGGCCAGGCCCATCCCCAGCGCGCCATGCCAGGCTGGCTGTGGTCCCTGCGGTCACCGTGTGGAGGGGCTGTGTCTGGGTAGGACAGAGTGGTGTGTGACAGGGCCTCTAAGCCCAGTGTGTCTGGGATGGCCCTGGCGTGGGGTGTGGAGGTGAGCTGGGCCAATTTCTGCCCTCCAAGGCCCCCCCTTCAGAGAAACCAGCTTGCGGCTGGCCTGGTGGCCACCCACCCAGAGGCAGATTGAAGCTGCCTGCAGCCGGCGCCAGCCTCCTGGCCAGGGCTGGTGTCAGAGATGAGATTTGGCCCAGCGGTCCTTTGGGGACTGGCCATGGGTCCCAGCTGTGACTCTAAGCATGTGGCTGGCCTCCAGCCGCAGCCTCCAATCTGGAGAATGAGGCCAGTGTTTGCGCCCCGCCGGCCCCTCAGTCGCTGCAAGGACGTGAGCAGACACACGTGAGCCTGCAGGGGTGCTGGCGCATGTCAGGGAGCTCAGGGGTCAGTGGGGATGGGGTGCCAGGCCTAGGCAGACCCTTGCCCAGTGCCCGCCCTCTGCCGGCACGGACCTTTCTTCGATGCTGATGAAAGCAAAGGAGCCTGTTCTCCCCAGAAAGAGCCCCACACCTGCTCCCAACACCACGCCTTTGCGAAAGGTCCCTCACACTTCCCTCTGAGCAAGGTGGGGGCAGCAGGGGGCTCTGGCTTCCTTGACCTGTGGTCACATGTGTTTGCACAACACACTGAGGGCCATGCAGCCAGGGGGAAGGGAAGCTCAGGGCAGGCCCTGCTCCTCCCTGGCCACCACCACCCTCGCTGCTTCGGGGGAGCTCAGGGCTAGAGCTCAGGAGTGAAGAGCTGACCACCCCCTGCGGCTGTCTTTAGGCCTCTGGAGACCAGGACTCGGGTGCGCAAGGAGCCCAGGAAGGGACAGCCGAGGGCTGGAAGTCAGATGACTCACTGAGTGCCTAGGACAGGCCGCTGGCCCTAGGGCCCAAGGCTCAGACCCCAGGGAACTTGCCCCGCCCCTAGGGCCGGGAGGGAAGGGCCCTGTGCACAGACCCGAGGACTCTGCTCTCAGGGGGAGCAGCCAGTTCAACAGGGAACAGCATTGAGCCCACTGGGCTGGAATAGTGCGTGAGGGGGAGGAGGGTCTGAGGACTGGGCAGAGCTGGTAGCCAGTGGGGAATGGACCAGAGGAGACAGGAGATCTCAGGAGGTGGGGGACACTGGCAGGAATTGGGGGTGGATTGGATGGGGGGTATGGTGTTCAAGGTTGAGGCCAGGGTTGGCAGACATGCTGAGCTGGGGGGCCATGGAGGGGCCAGTTGGGGCCCAGGGGTCCAGACTGGAGCATTCTGTGTGATGTATGTCCAGGTGCCCAGGTAGAGACTGGACGGTTGGTCTGGGTGGTGTCAGTTCCAACATGGAGACCAGAGCCAGCATGAGCGTGGACAGAGGGGCTCTGGGGGTAGCAGGGTGCTGGGAGGATGCTGCTCAGAGGCTCCCCAGTCCTGACCCCACTGGGGACTCCCCCAGACAGCCAGGTTGTCAGACCCCTGCTCCCAGACGTGAGGGGGCAGGGGGCAGTACCCCCGGTTTGGGAGGGCACGTTGGCCTTTCAGATGTGTGGTGCCTCCCCCGATGAGCCTCCTGCAGCTGGCGTTTGGGGGGCCTTTGCTGTGGGGCCTTCTCGTGGGCACTCTAGCTAGGTGACCCCAGGAGCCTTGTTCGACCTGGGCGTATCAGCTTTCTACACTCGAAGGTGGTTATTTCTGGGTGGGGACGGCTGCGTGTTCCCTAAGAAATGTCACCAAAGGCCAGCGTGCCGGCGGCGGGCACCGCGGACACTCGCCTCCTCGGAGCTGCCAGGGCTCCTAGACCGGCCTCCCCGCCCCCCAACCCCCGCCGGTCCACACAACAAGGGCTACAGGGCACCCTGCTCTCCATGCTGCCTGTGGGAAACGGGATCTCTTGGAACTCCCCGGCCCCTCCCCCTCGTCCCCCAGCCTGTGTCAGCTCACAGAGCTGCCAGTCAGCTCTGGCTGCAAAGCTGAAACCTAGTGGGGCGGCCTCACTTTGGGGGTATTTGGACAAGAGGCAGAGGTGGGGACAGGCACGGCTGCTCTGGTGTGGAGGACACCCAGGCTGGGAGTGACCTTGGGTCTGAAGATGCCTCATCCCCACCTCTCGCCAGCCCTTGGCAGGGAGGGTCCCCCCACCCCCGCCGTGAACCTCACAGGCAGGTCTCGGAACACACTGTGCCCGCTTGGCCTCAGGGCCTTGGCACAACGTCTGCCTTGCTCCTCACCCTCCCAGAGGCTAGTCTAAGGGGCGCCTCATCTCTCCAGGCTAGTGACACCCCCTTTTCCTGGCCCTGTGCCCAGCCACGACCCCTGCTCCTGTACACCCTTATCTGTCCCTCGAGGACCCTGGGGACTCGAAGGAGGGCTGTGCCCGAGATTCCAGGGGGCCCTCCGAGGTCCTGGTCTGATGCTTCACTGCTTTCACGTCCTCCTTGGGCCCTTGGGTGCAGAGCTGGACGGCTCCTAATCTTGGCCCAGACACATGCCCCTCCCTGGCCTGGATACAGCCACTGGGTGTAGTTTTAAACGTGCAATAAACACCCATAAACTCATTGTCTGTGAACCACCTCGGACCCCAGGACAGCCCCCCATGTTTTATTAGCATTTCAGTGTATTCCTGAAATGTATGTATTTAATTCTTAGGTGTCTTTCTTAAAGAGCTACTCTACTGTATGTGGTCTTACAAAACCCGTTGCCGTTGACTTGGTTCCGACTCATAGTGGCCCTAGAGGACAGAGTAGAACTGCCCCCTAGGGTTTCCAAAGCTGGTGGATTTGAAGCGCTGACTTTTGGTTAACAGCCAGAGCTCTTAACCGCTGCACCACCAGCGCTCCTGTATGTGATCTTTGGAACTTTTAAACCCTAATGTTAGCATGAGGTAAGACCTGCCTGCACTCTGTACCCAGCTATCTTCTGACTGCTGGGTGAGGTTTCCCATCTCCTGGGCCTTGTCCTGGCCTGGCTTGTCACTGGGGTTCCTGGGCCTCAGGCTCAAACCGTGGACGGGACTGTTGGAGGCAGGGCGCCGCCTGGGCGGGACACATGGCCCCGGAACCTCAGCACTGGGTGGGGGCCACACTTGTGCCAGACTGTCAACACCGAGGCCTGTGCTCACCCCAGAGCCCGAGGCTTTGTGAGGTCGTGGGTCCACGAACACCTTTGCCAGGGGAATCCGAGGAGGAAGGCCGGGGCGTGGGGCTTGGCCCTTCCGGAATGAGGGTCCCCGGGGCTGGCCCTCATGGGGCATTCATGGGCATTGCTGCAGAGAAGGGGGTATACACCCCGGAAACAAGAAACACCACATAAGGGCTTTTTTGTCTCCCCAGAGAGCGGGTTACCAGCACCCCGTAGTGGGAGGCTGAGCTCCGGGGTACCGAACAGGTTAGACTGACTGTCCTTCGGTCCTGGGACTGCCCTCCACCCGTCCCCGCCTTAAGGAGGCAGCAGGGACCCCGCCCAGAGCAGCCGGAGTCAGGTAAGGCAGGGAGGCTGGGGGCTGCCTCTGGGGTCAGCATGGGGGAGGGGGACTCCAGGAGCCCCTGGGTGAAGGGGGCCTCAGCTGCAAGTCTGGCCCTGTGCCCGGCTTCCATGGGCTGAGCCCCTGGGGTCAGCTGGGGCTGCTGCAGGGTTTCCATCCCAGTGAGTGCAGCTGGCAGGCCCGGGGGCCTGACACATTTGCTGGTGGGCTGCGTGGAAGCCTCCCCTGCCTGCCCGTCTCCCGCAGAGTGGGCTTACCCTCACTTGGCTTCAGACCTTCCCTGAACTGCATCAAGGCCCCCCTGCAGATAATTCCGGGTGACCTGAGGCTCTACACTGGGAAGAGCAGGGCACAGCCTGGTGGGTGAGGGCTGGGGAAGGCCCATTCCCTGCCTGGAGACTGACCAGCCAGGGCCTGGCTGCAGCAGAGCTGTGCCCTTCTCTCCACCCGCTCCCCTGTGCTACCACATTGTCTCCTCCAAAGCTGCTCTGCCCACACTCTGACTGTGAACCCAGGGGGAAGGGCAAGAAAGCAGGCACGGGGCGGGTGCACGGAGAATAGGCAAGAGACTGGATGGGGGTCTAAAGGGACCCCACCCTGGTATCAGGGCCCGAGTCCTTGCGCTCTGGGCTGCCCCACCCGCCCTGCGGGTTCATTGCCCGGGATGGGAACACAGCCGCTGCCAGACACAATAGTGCCACAATGACCTGCTGCTTCCCGAAATAGGGCCAACCGGGAGGCCGTGGCCCCGGCGGAAAAGGCCAGCCAGGCCAGCTCCCCACCGGGGTCCCCGCTGCCCAGGAAGCTGTAACCTGAGTCCTGCTGAGCCTAAAAAAGCCACTGCCCTTTAGAACACTCTGTTGGGTGGCAGGTGAGGTGGCGGGAGGCAGCCAGGTGCCGGTCCTGCACCCTGTGACTGGCTCAGGGCAGAGATGGCCGAGGGGTGGGCTCTGAGCTAGCACTGGGGCAGCCCCCACCAAGGTGTGGCAGAGGAGAGAAGGCACTGCTGTGGCAGGCCACTGAAGGTGCAGATCCGGGCTGGAGGCTGGGATCCCCGTGCAGACCCAGGCCAGGAGGCTGGGGATCCCTGTGGAGACCTGGGCCTGGAGGGTGGGGCCCCCAGGT